TATGTATTGGCTCTAATAAAACTTAAGTCATATTATAGTGAATTCGTACTATCTTCATAAACAATATATTCATAAAATCGTCAGCTTTATCAGTTTTTATGGACCTTTATAATAAAATTATCCTCTTTGTCGTCTGACTGTACCCAGTCGGTAGCTAGATGCGACTAGATTTTCTGATTGTAATATCTATTTTATTACACTAACGTGGTTGAAGCACGGCTCCGATAAATGTATTATTTGCACTATTGCATTGTTATCAAATATACTGCAAGGATATAATTCCTTCTCGATTAGTTTTATGTTCAAGAACGGATTAATATTGTTTTACTTTTTTTTTTATTTATAGATATTATTCCGTACTTTGCACAGTTTAATTGCATTAAACATTTTTGTGTCGTAATTATTACGAAAATATGTTTAACCATTTCTCATGCTCATTAAAAACTTTACATAACCATATGGTTCATAGTGCTGTTCATTCTATAGAAAATGTGTATTATTTTTCATCCTTAGATCTTTAGCTTGTTTATCGCTCCATATCTGTCTATCTTCACGTCAAGTCCTTGCTGAGTAGGCAGAGAGAATCGGGTACTAATTACCCCTACATAGATCTCTTGTTTCCTGCACTTTCATAATTTGTCTCATGTAAGCACGCTAGTTCCGGACTCTTGACTCCTCCTTTAGAAATAGCAATATACCTTCTCAGGTCGTCCTTTACGTGATCCCCCTCTGGAAACCATTATGCTGAATTCTAGGTGTATTCGTTATGATGGGTTAACTGGCCTGCTTTTTCATTCCTATCTATTAAGCCTCACTGGTGGCGGGGTTATACTTCCATTAGCATCCATTAAAGAAAAAATTGTGACTAGATAAAAATTTGGATCTGTCTGTTCTTAGTTTTATGTATGTGAACGTAAACTTATATTTTTCGTTAATTTATTAATGTACATTACTAATTTATTTATTTTGTAATTGGATTATTTAATAGATTGAATTTGAAATTGTTTATGTATAGTTTACCCATTGACTGCCTATAGTGTGTTGCAGTACTGACAGCCTACGCCTCTGTAAACTATAGCTATTATTCTATAATAAATATACAAATGTAATAATACCAGGAAACAATCAGTGTTTGTTATCACAATCATAATAATCAAATTCTATCCAAAAGCGAATGCGAGTAGATACCCAAATATGTGGCCAAATAATGTATCCGTGCCGGCCCATACGTGTGATAGATAAATGGCGATAAATATTCTGATTTAGCAAGTTTATCATTATTTAGAGTGCGTTCCGACTGAATGATTAGTGTGCATCATGCGAATATTTCACGGGACTAATTGTAATGCAAAATTAATGTGATACATAATTGTGTATGGAAATTCACAATGCCCATACGCGAATTTCCTACGTAAATGTTTTTATGAAATAATTTTGTTTTATTCTCTCACAGGAACTGAACGTATGTAGAGGTTACGTAGTTCATTGAATATTAAAATATTATATTGTACTTTAAACGTATTGTGCAAATACAAATACAGATAATTGCAAGGAAAATGTTAAAATCTAGTATTTTGATGGGTAACATTATAATTTAGAGGTAAAATACGTATATTTATATTATGGTAGGTATGGGGATAAATGCCCTTATTCTGTCTTTTTCGACATTCTAACGTAAATATATGAAATCTATAACAAGTATATTATACCTTTAGATTATATAGAAACAGTCTCATTTTTAATACGTAAATACTCATTTTATTTATTAAATAATACGTCAAGATACATTTTATGCGGAAGTATATAAAAAATTCATAAAAAAACAAGTCAATTAATTTGACGATAAGTTGACAAAAATTTGACTTGTTATTGAGGCTCGAGGCTCTATCTATATACTCTTAGATTATCCTTTCCCCGTCTGTCTCACAAGAGACTTGGCATGAAGACAAAAATTAGGTTTCAACTTTGCAAAAAAAAAAACACTATTTCAAAATCGTGACAATACTCAGTTAAACAACGAGATCTTTCGCAAACATAATAGTTTACTACAAACTTCTGTATATAATTGGAATCCTTTAGAATAGAATAGAAGTAAGCTTTATTCGAAAAAAGTTTTTTAAATCGTATTTTTTCTATTCTACTGCTGCGTTCGAATTTGTTATCTGCTGAGAAGAACTTGTACGAAACTCAACCGTTACTCTTTTTAATTCGTTATTGGACAAGATAATTTTACATTTGTATGGGCATGCCATGACTAAAAGTCAAACTGTGTTGCCAATCAACTTGCCAAGCGTGGCAACTACTAGAAGAATCTCCCCATTGGTATTATGGCAGTCTATGGGCTATGTTCAACAGTGGACAGGTAACAGCTGATATGAGGACGATGACAATGATAGGCAACGTGGTTATAATAATGACGATGAATGATAATGATGATGAGGATTGAGTTCTATTTAATTTTCTAAAGGTTCTCTTCCTTTTGCTTCGCTGTAAGCGGATTTTGTTCTGAAGAAAATTATATTTTTAATTGTTAACAAATTAATATAATTTGCCTTTTCCTTCTTCATTGTACTATTTTGGGAATTCGTATATCAAATTTATAATAATAGTGTCAAATACAATAAGCTAGACTATGTTACAATTATCTCCGTTAATGGGATATAGAATGTAACTTCGGTGCGCCCCACGAGACTTAATTATGCCTCCGTTGGAAGACGACACCATAACACGATATCATGCATAAAAGCCTTTCAAATATTATAAAGATACGACATATAAACAAGGAATGAAAGAAAGACATATTGTTATTGAAGTGAACTTAGATATAAGCATTTTTGAATAGTCATTTTCTCATTACCGTCCATTCGGAATGCAATTTGAGTAAAGAATTATAGGTAAGAAACTCAGCGGTTGGTTTTTGCTAAAATTTTAATAATAATAATAGGTTTATGTGTATTCAAAAATGAAAATTTTACGCACTTACTGTGTTTGTCGTTTCCGACCATTGTTTTAAATTCATCGGGAAGTCTTCTTCAGGGGAGTAAAAGTAAGTTCGTAATTTTTCCGTTTTTTTTTAATAGGTGATAATGGAATGCTAGCTCCGTCGGCGCTAACGGTATACGCTGGTGGGGCACCAGTGAGGGATGATAGGTGAGAATGGAAAGACAGGTTAGTTTAGCCCATTGTGATGAATACACCTGGAATTCAGCACATTGGTTTCCAGGGGGACCACGTGGAGGCCGACCTCCCAGGGTATATTGCTAGCAATGAAACTGGTAGTCGATATTACTAACAATTCCTTCCCCACCAAATGTAAAATTCCTGTTATGTATGTATATCGACATAGTTAAAAAGTGAAAAGAAGTTGTAAAAATAATATAAATAGTACCTGCAAAATATGGTCACAGTTTCATAATAGTTTCTTCACTTAGACTTTCTAAAACACGCGACGGATTTTGACATGAGTTTCACTGATATTTGTATACGGAAGGTTTGTTTGTGCAATTTGGATCCGTACAAATATATATAATAATAATAGGCATTGCACAGTTTTTTTTTAAAATAAAATACAGCTCATGTTATTTGCTAATAATGTAAAATTCGTATAGTTGAATAGATTTTTAAAATATGTAGTTGAAGTATTTTCGAATTTAAGTGGCAAAAAAATATATAACCCGTCTGATGGTAATATAAGATGTCGCATAATAAATCATATGATTTTGATTTTATCCTATAGATTTACATTTACTTATATTTGTTTTCTACTAAAATAAAAAGTTTAATTAAAAAAATAGACTGCCTTTACTTGTTGTGTGTTTAACAACGTTGTTTGTAAATAATTAATATGATTACGCGGGTAAGCTCTAATGTCGAATTAATTCTCATTACAGCCGTAATATAATTGGCGTTAAGCGGCTAACTGAATTATTTATATAAAGCCCCGACTTGAGACGTTTCTCCATACTACCCTTTTGTATCGTATGAACGGTAGATCAACTACTTACTATACTGGGTTTTTGTTATGTATTTATTGTGATATATCATTAATTATCATCATTATATTAGCCCTTATCTGTTTACTGCTGAACATAGGTCATCCCTTAGGAGGGTTTTGCCAGTAGTTGCTACGGCAGGCAGATTTGTAACCGCAGTTAGGCTTTGTTGAGATGTTTTAAGAGGGATGCTGCTGTCCATTTCTCGTCCTTTCTTAGACGTCTTAAGAGGCGAGGGTGTCTTAAGCGACACCTTCGCGAAAGGAAGGAATGGCCTATTCTATGCCGGGACCACACAGACATGTCATTATAATCAGATAATTTAAGACATAAAGGAGAAAATGTTGGTACACTTGATATTAAAAGGGGGGGTAAAGAGGTTTCTTCAGGGTCGGCAACGCACGCGTAATACCTCTGGTATTGCAGGTTTTCATAGGCTACGGTAACCACTTACCATCAGGTGGGCCGTATGCTTGTTTGCCATCTCAGTAATATAAAAAAAACAAACATTATAATAAAATGTTCGATTGAAGGAAGGGGCAGACCTTTGGTTATTTTAAGTAGATCACGGATAAAATTGGTGTCGTGTCGTATCAAGAAGTGAAGAACTTGAATCACTATGAGTGGTAAGAGTTTCACCCACAAGAGCGCAGCTCTTAAATAGGAATGAATTAATGATTCATTATAATCTCTTATCAATTTACGGTTAGGCAAGGGTATCTTTTCATAAATTATCTGACTCGAAATATACAATGTAAAACATGTTGAGACTCCAATAGTAACTGGACAGTTGGATGCGCCGTGTTAGTGTTATATGGTATTTTATTTTTTGTCTATCAACATAGGTCATGTTTTTTTACTAAATAATGTTTCGACTTCACTAATTGCAGTTTCATCTGATAAATATTATCTGATAATTATTATTATCTTTTCTTCGATGGATCTTATCATGAAATTTTAAACATTTTAACTTCTTAATGTTAAAAAATTATAATAATATATGATCACCTGAAATAGTCCATAACTGGTGTATGAGTTGTTGTGATTGGTGACTTTCTCTGTAGTTCTGCCACTTGCGTGCTCGATTAGACATACCCCTGGAAAATGACATATAAATATAATAATGCAAGTATTTCTTTGAAATGAGGACATGCGCAAAAGATCAAATTAACCGACAGAGCCTGAAGGTTAAGCAAGTTAAAGTTACAATAGGCTGATCACATAGCTCGAATAATCGACGACCGATGGGGAAGAAAGACTTGAGTGGTGATCCCGTACGGGCAAATACAGTGAAAAACGACCCCCTCACTTCCTGAAGTAACGACCTCAAATCATATCAGTAGATGTAGATGGCTCAGGACTGTTCTTTATAGCAGTCTATGGGGACGCTTATGTTCAGCAATGGACAAATAATGATATGATAATGATAATGATGATGATGATTAAGTATTTCTTGTTTGCATAATAGATGAGAAAAGAAATGAACGGAACTTTGGAATGAATATATAAAATTTATTAGACAAATCGGACTGGTATCTAATACTGATTTAATGAATATTCACATCAAATTGTATTTGCAAATTAGAAAGAGTAAGAATAAAGTAAGAGTCATTTGTAGAAGCTTATTTATAACGGGTATAGCAAAAATATGTTTATGAATCATAGTCGTAATCTACATATATTTTTTGAAATTTTTATACCAATGATCACGTGATCGTGTAGTTTGTATGTCTATAAAAATATGTTTTGATATTTCGTCTATTCTTTTTACGGAGTGAAATTATTCAGTTCCATTAGCAGTATCACCGTGTTTCGTCTTGAAATTGCCATTACAACTAACCCTGTATACGCAATAACACTAAAAAAAGGTTACGAAAACATATTTTATTTTTCTTAAAAAGTATTTGTCAAAATGCAAATCCTCTGGAATCTGTGGCGCAGTTATTTTAAAAAGTAGCTATAAAACTGGCCAGTTGTTTTACGAAATTAAATTCACCCATTTGAAATTCTTAATTCAAATAATAACATTAAGGAGCCGCGGAAACCGACGAAAGGCAAATGAATTGTTCGCCGCGACCTTAATAAGCATTCACCGGGAACTTCACTCCGAGAATCTCCTATTTGCATAAAAAGGGACATCGCTCAGATGACAAAACATTTTCAGATCCCCTTTCATTTAAGTTTAAAATTGTTAGAGCCGCTTCTAATTGACACTGTATAAGGCGGGGTCGTGTTTTAATCTGAATTAATTCAAATTAATACAACTCAGAACTAAATCGTGCTGTTTTACCTTACGCTAATCGGCGAATCTTGAAGAAATATCTTTTGTTCTAATTTGTCATGAGTTATAAAAGGACCAGAAGGGCACTATTACAAAAACGGCATTTTCCCTTTATCATATAACCTCGGATCCTTCAAAGGTAGTTCGAAAAAATATTTGCTGAGTCGGCATAGTATGAACAACCGTTGAGTACAACATTCTCTTTTGGGTTGATTTAATGTCTTTAACCCAAAGTTGTCTGAAAGAAATTACTTAGCAATAAGGCCGCCTTTTATATCACTTTGTATTGACCTTTTACTTTATTTATTTTTATGACTGGCGCAATAAAGTGTAAAATAAATCTTATTAATATAATAGAATTGTAACTACGCGATATCTGTATGTAGGAGATATTTAAGAAAAATTAATATGAGGGGTACAATAGGGGACAAAACAATAATTTTTAGAAATTTTGTTTGTCTATATGTATGTTTCGGCATTACGCAAAAATATTGCACCAATTTAGATGCGGTTTTTCCAGTTATGTTTACGAAGATATAACTTAAAATCTGGTATATGTTATATTTTGATGCGCCATAAAAAAGTGGACTAGCTGATCAATTTTCCTACTTCTGAAATTATGCGTGTGAAGTAGCGGGCAAAAAGCTAGTAAGTAAATAAATATAGAATATTCTTTATTGTAAACAAACATAATGTTAACAATGATTAATTTTAAACGTGATGTACAAAAGCGAGCTTATCATTACATAGTATAAAACAAAGTCGCCTTCTTTCTGTCTGTCCATATGTATGCTTAGATCTTTAAAACTACGGAACGGATTTTGATGTGATTTTTTTAATAGGTAAAGTGATACAAGAGAAGGGTTTATATGTATAATATATACATAATATAGTAGAGAAACATTGATAATTTTAGAGGTTTTAATGTGATGTGATGTAATGTGCACCCGTGCGAAGCCAGGGCTGGTCGCTAGTCTAAGATAGAAATCATAAGAGAGTATTTACTGAAATGACATTCTGCCAGTACCTGTGTGGTCTTGGCATAGAATGGACCGCCCTTTCCTTTCCAGCGAGTGTCGAAGAGGCAATTAAGGGAACTTAAAATTTGAGGAATGAGCAAAAGTGTCCTTCTTAAAATAGCACCAAAAGTCTAACTGCGGTTGCCAACTCGCCTTCTAAGCGTGGCGATTACTGGCAAATCGCTCCTTATAGGGAAGGCTTAGCAGCAGTTCAGCAGTGGACAGTTAACGGCTGATTAATAATAATGTATTAAAGTTTATTACCAGTATATATGGTATTGTTATGTTATTACCTCACTCTATAGGATGTAGGATATAGTTGAGGAATATCACAAGTGTATCATCTGAACATGGCCAGGGCGTGTCGGTGTCAAGCGCCGTATTCACTTTGATGTACAACTTACAAACACGTACAGTCGGGCTGTTAAGTATTATATTAGTTTATTATATTAAACTAATAATGTCTTATTGTTGGAAATGTATTGGGGAGACATATATCTAGCAGTGGACAGTTAACTTTTAATGGAATGAATACCTATAAAAGGGATATAGGTAATAGGATCTAGAAGCCAAATTTCTCTTCTAGTTCGACCTCCACGTGGTCTCCCCTAGAAACGTGGTTAATTCTTGACAAATTCGCCACAATGAGTCAACTAACCTCAGGCAGGGTTATCAAACCATTAGCATTAGTTCTGTTGTGTGCCTATGTTCAGCAGTGGACAGTAACGGCTGATATCATTAGCAGCAAAAAAGAAATTTTTTTCTTCGTGTATTTACGGCTAAACCAATAGTTATTAAATTTTATATATAAAGTATATAGTTTTTGGGATGGAGAAGAATATATGGTAGGCTACTTTCATTCCAGTCAGTGACATATCTCTGATACGCGGACAAAGTTGCGCGTAAAATCTAGTTTATAATATCTGTAAGGAATCTGGTATTTTCTACCTCAATATCCAGATAGTAATATTGACAGTCTACAGATTAATTAACGTCGAAGTGAAATAGCATGGTATAGTCTGTGGCGTAGTAGATATAGTACCTATTATAAACAGTAAGTGCAGTTTATATATTGATCCTATTGTCTGAATGTTAAATTCATTTGACTATAATTTTACATATAAAACGTTTCATATTATAAATATTAAGCATTGCTTAGATTTTACGATGTTGGGTATAAAGTATTTTCAAGACAAAAAACTTGTGTAATTGTTTGTGATAAAAATTTCGTAACCACACATAAAAAACTGAAGGAAACGTCTTTAATAAAAAACAAATAACTACATGCCAAGTATATACTCGTATATTTCTTGTATAAATAAAAAGTTTACTATTCTAATTTTTTGGAGGAAACAATAAAGAGTATCTATCTATATATGTATATTACTATGAGCCCGTGTATTCAATAAACTTTTTGCTTTAATTAAAGAATTATTTATTATTTTTATTAGATATACTTTGATTGTAAAAATAACTGTGACTTAAGTATATTTGTTCGACAATAGTTCGCGAGCATATGGGAATCTTAACCACAAGTGGCTATGAAACTTGTGCGATCTTAATTCCAATCAAAAAATATATGTAAGTTAATTCCATTATTCTTACAATTAAAATATATAAAAGTTACAACGTAAATTGGCTTTGTAACATTTAAACATAATTTTAATATAATATTTATTTATTTTTATTCTTTATTGCAGAATAAAACTTTGTACAAGTGGCGAGCTTAATGCCATATAGCATTCTCTGCCAGCTAACTATTAGGTAAAAACAGAAAGCGTATGAAGGGCAGATGTGGTGAAAAATATGTGACAATTATAGCAACATACTGAAATAATTATATATATATGTTAAACGTTAATGGCTGAAATGGTGATGATGATGATGATCTGTCAAATAATCACACTAATCGTGGGGCCCTCAAGTCTTAGAATACCTATGTTTTAAGGACCCAGGTATCAAATGTCTGCCGTTATAACCTAGAACACTCAGATCCCCATTCAGAAAAGTCGATTAAATTGGTTCGACAGGAAATCAAATCCAGGACCTAATTTACGCTAAGCAAGGTGCTTACAACTGTGCCACGGAATATAGTAATAATGATAAAGTATATAGTGCACAGAATATAGAATGTTATCTAATATCTACTTATAAGTTCTGTCTGACTGAAAGCGCCTATAATGTATATACAATATTAACGTTGCTGTGGAATCTCAAGAGAGAACTGAAGTCGACTTGCTTCGTTGATTAGAGAGAGGCAGCGTTAATGCACGACGTATAGTACATACAGCTGTAAGCCGAATTTACATTACGTAACTAGTGATATTAAATTAGGGGTATGAAACTAATGGCATAAAACTAGTGGTATGTAAATAGTGGCATGAAACAAGTGGCTTATTTTATTCTTCAGTAATTTCATACGATTACTTTCATAACAATAAGAAACTAAACTTATGTTCTGTAATGTATATAGTGGCATGAAACCAACGATATGAAGTATATTTAATTGTATGCCATCTAGTCGTATAAAATTTGTCTTATGAGATTAATTTCATTGGTATTTTCACGTGAAAACCTCTACTTAAGTAATAGAGTATAACATTAAGGTTAGTTGATAAGCCTTATTGCTTTCAGCAGTAAGGCAGTTTTCTACATTTATGCTAATTGCTTTTATGGGGGGAAAGGGATTGTTAGTAATGGAGACTGAGAATCCCATTGCTAGCAATATACCCAACCAGGTCGACCTCCTCGCGGTTCCCCCTGGCAACTATTATGGTTAATTCCTGATGAATTCATCATGATAGGCTAACTGGCCTGTTTTCATTCTCATCTATCACCCTTCACTGGTGCTCCGCCAGCGTATCCCGATAGCGCAGGCGGGGTTACCATACCATTTTCACCCATCAAAAAAAATTGCTTTTATGTATGATAATGTTACTTTTATCCAAACGTATGCGCAGTACATAAAGTGTAACTTGTTTCTCCTTTATCCTCTTTTTCTGTCACCATCATTATATCAGTTGTTAACTATTCACATTTGAACATAGGCCTTCTCCCAAGAGAGGGTTTTACCAATACTTGTCGTGTTAGGCGGGCGAATTGGAAACCGTAGTTAGGCTTTGGTGGTGTTTTAAGAAAGAAGTTTCTGTTCATCCCTCAATGTTTAAATTCTCTTAGTTGCCTCTTACGACACCAACGGGATAAGGAAGGGTGGTCCATTCTATGATGAGTTCATTCGTAGTCAGTGTTACTACTCCATTTTTATTCACAAAAAAGCATCGTACAAACTAGCGTTGGGAAAACTTTCAATGCTGATGTGGCCATAGTTTTAACGGTAATATACTATAGTATTTAAGAATGAGAATTATCGAACTCGTTTTTTTGCAACTAAAAATAGCAAACAAACTGACGGCTCATCTGATGGAAAGTGATAACTATCGCCTATAGATATAAACACTACTATGGACATAACAGAGTATACTGCGTTGCCCATGATATTCTTCATGCGTTGCCATTCTCGAGGACTAAGGTGTTATGCTTCTGTACCCTGTATTGCAGTTAGTTAGTTCTTGAAGTATTACATGGCGAAATTTTTCACAATGTAAATCAGGCTTTAAAATAAGAGCACATTTATATTAACATCTCTACCAACTCTAGTGGAGGTTAACAAAGTGTTATCCCTATAGCAATGATCTCTACGGAAATGGCGAATGTGAATGATTCATGACATACACATATACGCACACGCACGCACGCACGCACGCACGCACGCACGCACGCACGCACACACACACACACACACACACACACACACACACACACACACACACACACACAAAATCTTTTGATGAGTTTTATTTTTAGTAGTTTTATTAATTTTCTCCTGTATTATTGTTATTTAAATTTTGTACCCCATGTTATGGAGCGGGCGTTAATAGCTGCGACACAGTCTCTTTGTGACTAATGCAGTTATTATCGATCCTAAAAAGAAAACTGTAAATTAAGCTAAGGATCCCAAATAAACATTTTGATTTTTTATGATATTAAAATAGCTCATAATTTACCTAAATTCCAAAGAAAGGGGGATAATGTTTTTCTTGCATGTAAGTAAGACTTGTCTATGGTGCGTTTACATGAAACTGTTTTTTTTAATGGGTAATAATTGAATGATATCTCGCCATCGTTATCGGTATATGTTAGCGGGGCTACAGTGAATTATAATAAGTGAAACCAAGCCAATTGATCTATCATAATGAATTCATCAGGTTAAACTACGATGGCTTCTTGAAAGATCATGTGAAAGTCGATCTCACAGGGTATATTGCTTGTCGCTAGACTTTATTACTAATAATTTCTAAATACACAAACACACACATTTATACATACCCATACACCCACATACATAAACACACAGTCTACAGATTATACTCACAGTTAGGTATCAAACTCCTTGGGAAATTGTATCTGAGTAACTCCCTGGACAGCTGGCAACGGGTGAAGGTGCGCGCATGAGCACTGCAACCGCACACTAGCGTCACGAACAGGAGTAGCATCAGTTCCGTTGGCGGATGCATTCTATAAAAAAAAGTCGATTATTTTCATTGCAATGTGCGTGGGAAGAGGAGGCCTATGTTTAGCAGTGGACAGGTAATGGCAGAAATGATGATAATGTTGAATGTGTGTGGGCTGACAAGATTTAAAACAATTCAAAATATCAGTAAATTTGGTCTTTTTTTTTATATACAACTTAGAATGGCAAATAAGCTGACGGTCCACCTGATGGAAAGTGGTAATCGTAGCCTATAGATATGAGCAGTACCATGGACATAACAGAGTATACTATTTCGCCCATGATACCCCCCATGCGTTGCCATTCCTGAGGACTCAGATGTTATTTCTCTGTACCCAGTAAATTCACGCCACAGATGTTATTCCTCTGTACCCAGTAAATTCACGTCATATCCAAACCGAAATACAGCCATGCAAACAACTGCTTCATGGTTGAAACACGAATGGGACAGAGGTACCCAAGCAATCGACTTTTGTGCAGAGTCTCCCACTGGTATTGGTTTTTGTGTGTTTTGTAATCATCAACCGATTTTGGAGAGACGGGGGTTCTTGATTCGTTTGTATGTTTTTTTATGTTTATTACATCATAACTCCGTTAGTTGTAAACAATTTGGAAGCTTCTTTTTTTATTTAAAGGTGTATTTACAGATTGATCTCATAGAAATTTTATCAAAATCATAGTTTAGTTTTTAAATCAAAATAACTGGTTTTGAAGTCGGTTTTTTTTGTGAAACACAATTTAATAATACTGGCCTTAATAATATTATAATTGTGAAAGTTTGTTTGTTACTTAGTGCCTTAACGGCTTAATCATTCACTTAAAATTGAAGATGGAGAAGGACATAGGGTACTTTTTATTCCGATCAGTAAACATAAAATACTTTTCTTTATGTTTGAGCAGAACAGGGTCAGCAAAAAAAATATAATCTGACTTCATATACAGTCTAATTTTTTATCTTTTTGTAATTTTAAACATAGAAAAAAGAAAGAATTAAACATATTTAATCAAATATAGTAAAATTTTTGAATAATCATTTTTTATAATAATGCCACCCATTTGGAATGCAATTTCAACTAAGAAAACCGCGTAAGAAAGTTAGCTGCTGCTTTTTTCGAAACAATTTTTTTTTATTTTATAAATCAAGAAATTGATTGAATAGAAACTTCAGCAGTTTTTTATACCACAAAGGTAGCAAACGCCGGCAACCTCTGATGTTGCAGGTATGGACGTCTGACCTGACGTTGGCAACCTTCTTCAAGAAGCTGCATAAAATTCTCCCTTTTAAATGCCAAAGTTTCGTTATTAATGCCTATTTGGGTGGGGTGGTAGAAAGTTATAAACATAATACACATATTTTTGATTAGAACAGATATAATTTTTCTCACATGTAAAAGTTTTTAACCAGTAGCATAGGCATATACCTATACTTTGTTAAATGCCAGTACCTAAATGGTTTGCGACAATGTTATTAATTTAATGCTTTTATTAATTTAATGTCAATCGATCATTTATTTGCAAAAACTTTACAAATTGTATGTGTCCACAAGTGGAATGTTTGTCTCTACACTACGCATGAAACTTTATGATCAAAATAAATTTAAAAACATTTAAAAAGTAATTGATATTAATGTTCAATTTAAATAATATAACAATTATAACAAATGCATTTTTTTTATTTTAATTTAAATACAAAATACCTCTGTAACCTATGTTGTAGACCAAGCATAGAATAGGCCCCTTTCTATACCGTGGGTGTCGTAAGAAATAACTAAGGAAACTTATTGGTACAGGGTTGGACAGTTGTCTTTTTTAAAACATCACCCAAGCCTAACTGCGGTTGAGAACCCGTCTAGCGTGGCAACTACTGGCGAAATTGCTTTTATGTGAGAGGCCTATGTTCAACAGTGGACAGGGAACAGTTGATGTGATGATGATGATGATGATATCTATGTTTAACATAATTAAATATGAAAACAACAAAACAGTGATATAACATTTTACAGGATATAAAAATTCACTTATACTTAAATAAAACTTTTAAAAAATATATTCTTTCTAAACGGAATACTAATAGTTTTAAAATAATGAAATTGATCATTCGGCGTTAATCTGGTTTTATTGAAATGTAAACTTAAATATGATTATTGTAAATGTTGTTTGCTCTTTCTGTTTAGAAGGATAATATTAGCTCTTGGAAAACTTTGGAATTGTTTGAAATTATTAATGAACTATAAATTCATTTGCTTCTGTATTATGAATATTAAATTACACTGTAATACTCGGTACTATATAAAAACACGGTTTGTCTATATTTATTTATATATTTTATATAATTTACTAGAGGGAGACTTTGTACAAAAGTCGTTTGCTTGGACACCTCTGTCCTATTCGTGTTTCTGTGCAGTTACTATGAAGCAGTTGTGTTTGCATGGCTGTGTTTCGTTTTAAAGGGCCTACCTTTTAAAACAAAACACAGCCATGCAAACTAAAGCTTATGCCAGTGAATTTACAGGGTACAGAGGAGTTATTCTTTATTCTTTATTGTACACAAAAGGTTATTGAAATGTAAAAACAAACATAATAGTGCACAAGGGCGAGCTTATCTCCAATAGAGATTTCTTCCAGCAAACCCAATATGAGAAAAGTGACAGTTTATTAGTAGTTACAGTCATACATGTGCATGTATTCCTCTGTACCCTGTAAATTAATTGAATCCTCACGAATGGAGACGCATAAGGGGTATCATAGGCGAAACTGTATACTCTCTTATGTCCATAGTACTGCTCATGTCTATAGGCAACGGTTATTACTTTCCATCAGGTGGGCTGTCAGCTTATTTGCCATTCTAAGATGCATAAAAAATGTATACAATTATTTCACACATAATTACAAGTACATACCATGTACATCGTACGTATGGAGAGCAAAAATAAGATAGAGGAAAAAAATTATAATGACAGGTAGTATTGTATGTATGAATTATTTTAGATCTTTATAATATAGAAAATTTGGTTATGCAGAGGAAAATCTTACTTATTTGTCTTAGCAATTTATATAATTAATTAATTTAAGATTTTTGTATTATAAAGCAAAATTTACTTATTTACAATATTGTATAAAATTTACTAAATTTTATACATTGTAAAAAGATTTTTTTTATAATTGATATAAATATTGCGTATCATGTTCCATGCATAAAAAGTCCCATGCAGTTAAGAAAATGTTCTTTTTTAGAAGTCCTCAAAAACATGCATTTGCATACTATTAAATTCGGTTTGTTAATAGCGTTTACCATCTAGTATGCGTTTATCACAGTGCAGTGTTTTCTAGGAAGCCAATTATATGACTTGTATTGTTAGTTCAGATATAGAGGATATTGTTGCTTTGCTTGTTCTGTGCTGCAATGTTTACAGCAATGCAATATTCTTGTATTAGAACGTAAATCTTCATATTTTCGTTATTATTTATGGCGGTAATGTGACCAAATTTTGTGTAAGATCATACATATATTTTTTTTTCTTCATCATCGTCGTCATATGAGCTGCCTACTGTTCACTGCTGAATATAGGCCTCCCCAAAAAGAGGGGGTTTGCCAGAAGTGGCAAGCGGATTGTAACCGTAGTTAGGGTTTGGTGATGTTTTAAGAGGGATGCTGCTCTCCTCGACCATTAAGTTCCCTTAGTTGGCTCTTACGACACCCATGAAAAAGAAAGGATTGGCCTAGTCTATGTCAGGATCACAAGTGATATATTTTATTTTACTAATATAATACAATTGTAATTACACGATGTTTATACATGGGAGATTATTAATAAAAAATTAAATGGATTTAAATGCAAGTTGGTATATGGATAAATGTATCCGTGCTAAGTTAGGATTTTTTATATCCTAATTTAGCAAATAGGATCCTTTATGTACTGATTCATGTTTTTTTTTTATGTAACTTAGAATAGCAAATAATCTGACGGTACACGTGATTGAAAGTAGTAACCATCGTCTATAGACATGAACAGTACCATGGACATAACAGAGTATACTGTTTCGCCCATGATACCCCCCATGCGTTGCCATTCCTGAGCACTCAGGTATTATTTCTCTGTATCCTGTAAATTTACTGCCATATCCCACCCTTAAAACCAAAACACAGCCATGCAAATACAACTGCTTCATGGTAGTAACACGAATGGGACAGAGGTGTTCAAGCAAACGACTTCTGTACAAAGTTTTCCTCTGGTGAGAGAGACCGCAGAATACAGCTAGAATAATAAATGGCAAAGTTTGCAAAGATGTTTGGATGTTTAGATGTTTGTTACTCAGTCATGCTTAAATGGCTAAACTTATTTTAATAAAATTTGGTACACATTGTCCGAAAAGGGCATAGGTATAGCCAAGTGGCACTACTTTATTGCTTTTTTTTATTGACTTTTGTTATTAAATTATTTTGTTATTATTAAGTGTAAGTCTGAAATAAGTATTTTTCTTTCTTTATTTAATTCACGCAAACAAAACTGTTTTTAAAAATTACTTGTTATATTGTTGTATTAGTAGGAATTTTTTGGTTTCTTTATTAAGAATTATTAGATCAAAAAAGTTTAAGAAGTAAACTTGTGAATAGTATGTTTGTTTTAACAAACACAAATAAATTCATAGTTGTACAATTATATATATTATATGTACGACATATAATATATATATATATATATATAATATATATTATATGTCGTAGGTGTTGAACATTGTGTCTATAAAAAATTGATATATGAATTTTAAGAAAAGCTTAGTAGTCAAGGCCAGTCCTTTGATAGCAAATATAATAGCATTTTAACTTGTATTAATGTTTTATGAATTGCACTTGTTTATATATATATATATATATATATATATATATATATATATATATATATATATATATATATATATATATATCTTCATTGCACTAAAACATACAGTAACAACAATAAGTTAATAACAATGTTAGCAAAGGCGAACTTATCTCTAAAAGAGA